GCTGAGGGACAAGCGGTCGGGTGAGCCCGCGGATAGCTCGACGCGATTGGCTGTGCTGCTTGTCTATCTCACAGGAGCAGCGCTATTGGGTGGCTAACGCGGACGAGAAAGCGCAGAGTCTATTGGCTGGTGCGAGTGGGAGGGGAGCGGCTGTGACTGGCCACGAGGCCTGTAGGGGCGGGCCTCTGGGAAGGGCGCGGCCCGTCATTGGAGGCGGAGCCTGCCAGTCGGAGGGGGGCGGGGCTTAACCGGCGAAAGGCGGAAGAGCGTTGCGCCGCGCAGCAGCATGGAGGAGGTGGCGGCGGGTGAGCGGCGCGGGGTTGCGGTCGGTCCGGCGCTCTGGGTTGCGTGTGCCCCCCGCGTGGCCCCCGTGTGCCCGCAGCTCCGGCCTTTCAGCTCCGGGGCCTGGTGGGGCTCTGAGGCGGCTGGGCCCGGTTCCCCATGGGCAGCGCTGCGCGCCCGGGCCTGGCGCGGGGCTCTTGGTGCCGCCGCCCTGCGGGGTTCCGTGCCACCCTTTCCGCGTCCTTCTTCTCGCTCCACGTCTCCCCTCCATCCCGCCCCGTTCCCGGTTCCCTCGTGCCCTTACCCTCGGTGGAGGCGCGGATGAGGTCAGCCGTGCTGGGAGCTGGCTCCATGGCCGCCGCCGCGGCGCCGGTGCGATGCCGGTTCTGTGGCGAAGCCCGGCACGGGGCGGGCCGGTGACTCAACTGCCGCCGGTGACGGGGCGCCCGGGAACGCGGGCCCGGCCGGTGCTGGCGGTTGCAATTCCCTGGTCTGAGCTGCTCCAGGACCTTGGGGAAATCCAGGCGGACGGGCGCGGTGAGAAGCGGGGTTCGGGCCGGAGAGCAGCGCGGCACGGAGCGGGGAAGCGCCACGGGCTGAGCCCACCGCCGCCTCCCGGCCCGCCCCACTCAGCACCGGTCATGACGGAGCCCCGCGGCACCCATCGCTGTGCTGCCCGAGAGCTGAGGTCATCGCAGAGCTCTTCCTCTACTCCTCGGGCAGCCAAAGCGCTCCGCACCTTTTTACTCCTCTTCATTACCCTTCTTAGAAGGGGCTCTGAAGAATCATAGAATGGCCAGGGTTGGAAAGGGCCTCAAGGATCATGAATCTCCAACCCCCCACCACATGCATGGCCACCAACCTCCCCATTTAATATCAGACCAGGCTGTCCAGGGCCCCATCCAACCTGGCCTTGAACACCTCCAGGGATGGATGGGGCATCCACAGCCTCACTGGGCAGCTGTTCCAGCACCTCACCACTCTCATAATAAAGAACTTCCCCCTGACATCCAACCTCAATCTGCCCTCCCTCAACTTCATTTCCCCTTGTCGTGCTGTTTCCTGAAGCTTGTCCCTGCTCTCCCTTATCCCAGAGAGAAGCAACCTGGGCGGTGTGCGGCACATCCTGCTGGTGCTCTCTGGGAAGGGCGGTGTGGGGAAGAGCACCATCAGCACGGAGCTGGCTCTGTCACTGCGGCACTCGGGCAAGAAGGTGAGTGAAGGGCTGGGATGCTGATTTGTGGCTGATCTTTCCGACATCACCTCAGCATGATCCTCTTTGTCCTCCATGCCACCCATGTACATAAAGATCCTCTGTCAATGGTCTGTGCTTTCTTGATTTAGAAGAGCTCAACACAGCTAACAGTGCAGTTCCTTTTCCCTTTATCCAAGAGACTAATGCTATCTAAAACTTCTTTCACTGTTATTTTTGAAACCAGGATGCTGAGAAATGACTTGTTGGTTTGTATGGTGACACATGCTCCTTTATGGAGTGAGGTGGGCAAGCTGAAGGACAGTGGTGGTTCAGGCACAGAGAGCACCTATGGCAGGCTGGTTTCTAGGAGGACTTCATAAAGGCTCTGTGGAGCCAATCCCTCTGAGGTTCTGATGGATCCCCCCATGAATAAAAGTTTCCCCAGTGTGCTTGTAAATACCTAGGAGATGTTTCCTTGAAGGGAAGGAGGTTGGGACAGTAGTCAAAACTTGAAGCAACTCTTTGAAGTTGTGCTTCAAACCTGCTGCTTTGGTTCCTGGCACAGTGGAGAATGCTGCCTCCTCTTTTCTGGGGAGGAAACAGAACTGGGGGCTGAGACTGTGCTCAGGCCCATCTGAGTGGCTCTGCTTCATCACTGCAGGTGGGGATCTTGGATGTGGATCTGTGTGGCCCCAGCATACCCCGCATGTTCAAGGTGCAGGACAGTGATGTGCACCAGTGTGATGCCGGCTGGGTGCCAGTCTTTGTGGACCAGGAGAAAAGCATCTCACTGATGTCCATTGGCTTTCTGCTGGAGAAGCCAGATGATGCTGTGGTGTGGAGAGGACCTAAGAAAAATGGTACAGTTGTATTTCAGTGTTATAATGTTCTTACAAACTCTATTGGAGGTGATTCTGGCTCCTGCCACGGGCAAGTCATTCTTTGGGGGCATGACCCTTGTTCTGCAGGGCTGTCTTCCCTGAGTTTGGTTCAGGGCATTCAGATGACACACCTTTTATTTTTGCAGCTTTAATAAAACAATTTGTTGCTGATGTGGCCTGGGGAGAACTGGATTTCCTCATCGTGGACACACCTCCAGGCACCTCTGATGAACACATCTCTACAGTGGAGGCCCTGCGGCCCTACAAGCCTCTGGGAGCAATCCTAGTCACCACACCTCAGGTAGGGCAGCCTGCTGGTGCTGAGCTGGAGCACGCTTTCTGGACACAGTTAGTGGGGAACTTTGCACCCCAGATCATGCTGTCACCCATCCTCCAGGACAGCCTCTGTGTGCAGTTCCTCTAAGTGGAGGACTTGGTCCAAGCTATGGCCAGCAATAGCGAGGGAGCATCTCCTAATCCCCATCACCAATTTTCCTGCGTGTTTTGTGTATGTGTACATTCCTGCTCCAGACAGACATCTAGACAGACACCTCTGACCTTACCTGTTCTCCCTGCAGGCAGTGTCTGTGGGAGATGTGAGACGAGAGCTGACGTTCTGCAAGAAGACAGGCTTGCGAGTTCTTGGCATTGTTGAGAACATGAGTGGTTTCGTTTGCCCACACTGCTCGGTGAGCTTATTGGTTGGCCTGTTTTGGGTTCTTGTTCATGTCTGGGTATCACATGCTGCAGTGCCTCAGGTGGAAAATCAGTGAAATGCCACAAGGATGCCGTGAACCTGGGAGATGAGAAGCTGCCAGCTGCTGCATGAGCTCTGGAAGAAGGAATTGGTTCTTTCCAAAACAGAGATGGGAGAAGGCAGTCCTTTGTGGCAGGAAGGTGGATGGGAGCTGGTACTCCTGTACACAGGCAATGCCTGCCCTGTTGCTCAGATCTCTCTGCTGTGGTTCATGACTCACTGCTGTTTTCTTCCTCCTTCAGGAGTGCACAAACATCTTTTCCAAAGGGGGAGGCGAAGAGCTGGCCAAACATGCTGGGGTCCCCTTTTTAGGTGAGTGGACTCTGGAGCAGAGCCCTCCTTGGTGACATCTTGTGTGGTGCTGTGGGAGTGCTTGAGGGGCACAGTCTGTCAACAGTGCAGATGAGCTGTGCTTTTAGTCCCTGTGAGCCCCTGAGGCTAGTCAGAAGCAAGGTGAAGTTGCTTCTATACCATCCACGCTGAACGCAGTGGGCATTCAGTCCTGCCAGAGCAGGGGCAGTGATAAGCAGAGCCTCCTCTGGCTGCTAACGTTGTGGTGACAAGCAACCAAGCCTGAAGCCACCCAGCCCTCCTGAAATGCACTGAGAAATGTGGGCTGAGGGCTGAACCTGCCCTATGGATGGGGCTGGGAGCAGAGCAGGAGAGTCTCACAAAGGTTGCCATGGTCTGGTGGTATTTCAGAACCAGAGAGATGTGAGAAGGAGGGCCTGATGAGAGTGGTTGCCTTTTCTTATTGCTGCCCCTGGAGCCTCTGGCAGGAGTTTCTCTTCAGTCCTCAGTCAAAGCCTTTGCCTTGTGATGAACAAGCAATCACACTCCCCTTTCCTCCTCTCCCTCAGGCTCTGTTCCTCTGGACCCCCAACTCAGCCAGAGCTTGGAGGAAGGCAGAGACTTCATCCAAGAGTTTCCCAAGAGCTCTGCCTTCCCTGCCTTGACTCGTATTGCCCAGCAGATCCTGGATGGCACATTGCAGCAGAGCTCCTGAGGAGTGATTTGGGCTGGACTCATGCCTGGCAGCACCACCGACGGCCCATTCTGGTGGGGAATAGGATGCAGAAGCTGTTGAACTATGGAGCTGTTACACTGGGGGATGATAGAGGGAGGAAGGAGCACAGCATTGGTGCCTCTTTTGGCAACTCAAAAAGGGAAGTGCTGCTCTACCTCTCCGCATCCAAAGAGGCTCTGCATGGGCGTTTCTGCTCACGCGGAGGATGCACAGCCTGGTTCTTGCCTTCTAAATGTGGCAGCACTCTGCCCACATGGTACAGTTGTTTTTAGCCCCCTCATGCAGTGCCTTCCTCTGCAACCAGCTATTGCACAGATATTTGTGGAGCTCTAGCTTGTTTCCACAGCATCTCATGCTCTGCGGTGCTGCTAACGATGACTGAATGCAGCTACACTGGTGAACATCATCAGTTGGGATGGATGTTCCCTCGCCAAGTTCAGATGGTACGAATCATCTGTATTGTAGCTCCATGTGTTGCTGCCTTCTGCTGCTTTCCTTGCGTGACACAATACATTACTTGGTTCAGCAGCTGGCAGACTGGAGCTGGATGCTGTGGTGTGGACCTGAGCCAAGCCAGCTCGCTCTGAAATCTCCAATTGTTGGTACATGTGTGCCTCTGAGGCACTGCATATGCTTCATGTGTCTTCAGGAGGTCTAGCATCCATTTGAAGTCTGCATCCTACCCTACTGGAAACAATGCCTTTTTTGATCTGCTGAGGGGTTACTGTGACTCAGGAATACTTTTTAAAGTTCCAGACAGTAAACATTTTTCTTAAAATACAAGTCTATGAGTTGAGTTTTTTTCCATGGCTTTGGGCCTCATCGTAGCTGAGTCTTGGTATTAAAAGCACTTCAAATACATTTAGATGTTTCCTGTTTCTCGTGTTTCCTTGCTGGGGCTCAGCTATGGCTTTTCTCCAGCTTCTAGATCCTGCTGTTGCCTGGTCTAGTTGAAAACTGGCCCTTGCAGTCCTTTGCAGCATCCTTTGCCACAGGCCTTCTCCACACCCCTGGCACACATGGGGCTTCTCCAGCTCCCTGACGGTTCCTGGCTCACTGCCTCTGGCTGTGCTGTCTCCCTGGGGCTCCTTTCCTTGGCAGCTTCTGTAAGTTTGGATTTCTCTTCAGTGCTGGCACTCCCTTGGGTTCTGCCTTCTTCTTGCAAGCACGGTTTAAGCTGGGGAAGCTGCTAAAGATCGCGTCTTTGCGCTTTATTTCCCTCTCTCCTAGAGCGTGAGCCCATTCTGCCTCTGTGCCCTCTCTGTGATTGGACCTTCACCTTGCAGTGCTGCTCTAGAGAGTCAAGAGAAACATCAGATTCCTGCTGACCGAGCTGCATCCTCGTTGGAAGCCCTTCATTATGAAGGAGATTAGAAAAGCATCTGTCCCTGCTTGGAGTGCACCCACATTAGAACTCACACCTGACCAGGCCTTCCCCACTTGCAGCTTTCCTGGAAATCTCATCTGACCTTTGCTCACTGATTTGGGATTTGGAGAGTGGGGTCATTCCTGCAGCCACGCGTTCTCCTGGCCTGTGGGACTGTGTGCAGTGCAAATCCCACTCCCTGATAATGCTGAGTGGAGGGGGGTCAGTGCAGGATCAGAGCACCAGCTGAGCAGGGGCTGTGTGCACGGTCTGAGGGACACTGCACCCCTTTAATTGGTCCCAGCCTTTCCTTCATTGCTGTTCACTTTGCAGAAAGTTTGCTGCAAGTTCCTTTAATATCTGGGGATGTGGAAAGCCCATGGCACCCAAATGTTGGGATGGGGTCGTGCACAAACCCTGAGGAGCTCTGATAAGAAGCCCTGCTGGGTGTGGCACGTGGTTTCAAAAAAACATACTTACAAGATGGGTTGCAATAGCTCCAAAGGTTTATTTGTCTGCTGTGAATTATCAGGTAAGTGACATGGGTGGCTTTCTGTAACCTGTATTGGCTGTGGCAAGGAGCAATTAAAAGCGAGTATCTGTCCCCTTCCCCAGACCTACAGTAGGGCTCAACAGCAAATTTGGGTTTTCTGTTTTTTTTTCCCTTTAAACCTGCTGGGGTGGAGGTGACCCCAGGTGCCATGCACTAGATTCTAGCACTGCTTTTTTGAGGTCTTGCTGGTGGATGGGGATGGTGGGACCCTGGGTGACGTTTGGAGCCCTGGAAGAGGCTGGGGGCTGCCCACAGGTGGGCACAGGGTGAAACCACCCCACTTCATGGCAGGAAGATGCTTCATTCTGTCCCCATGCTGGTGTTTAAATACTGCCAATGTTTCCTGTCCCCCCTCGCCTTCCCCAGGTCCCCATCCAAGTGGATATAGCTGTCCCCCGTGGTGCCACACGGGGAAAGGTGGCCGAGGCTAGACAGACCACGGACAGTGATGGGGACAGGGAGGTGGCAGTCATGTGTCAGCAGTGAGCAAAGTTGTCCTCACTGGTGTCGCGGAGGTCCAGGCCCATGAGGCTGGGTGGCTGGAAGCAGGTGAGGTTATTGTAGGTGTAAACAGGGACATGGGAGTCATCCCCCTCGGCGACGGACTGGACAAAGCGTGGGACCACGCTGGGGTGCCGCAGGGCGAAATCCCGCAGCCCCTTCAGCGAGCAGTTGCAGTGCCAATTGTTCCCCCCAAGCCAGAGCTGCTCCAGTGTGAAGGAAGGGGACAAGAACCCCACTGAGAAGGTCTCTAGGGAGTTGTTCCTCAGACTGAGGTAGCGCAGGTTGGCAAGCTGTGTGATGACGGCGTTGTCCAATGTCGCCAGCTGGTTATGGGAGAGGTCGAGCCAGAAGAGTCTGCGGAGCGGGCTGAAGGTGTCCTGAGAGATGTCCAGGATTTGGTTGAAGGAGAGGAAGAGGTACTCCAGGTTGCTCAAACCCACAAAGAGCTGGGGTGAGAGGTGGCTCAGCCTGTTGTGCTTCAGGTCGAGCTCCAGCAGCTCGTGCAGTTCTCTGAAGCTTTGGTCTTCAATGATGGAGATGGCGTTGTGCTGCAGGAAGAGCCGCCGCAGGCTGGTGAGGCTGGAGAAGGTGTTGGCCCTGATCCTGCTCAGGCAGCTGTGCTCCAAGTGGAGGCTGTGCAGCTTGGTGACTCCCTCAAACACGTATTCGGGCAGAGTCTTGATGCAGTTGGCAGACAAGTGCATCACTGCCACGTTGTACAGCCCAAGGAAGGCCCCAGCCTTGATGTCCTGCAGCTGGTTGTTGTTGAGGCTGAGGACCTCCAGTTGACCCAACCCATCGAAGGTCCTTTCTGCCAAGCTCCAGATCCTGTTGTGTCCCAGCTGCAGCTCCTCCAGGAACTGGAGGTCTTTGAAAGTCCTGGGCCTCAGGTTGGTGATGGAGTTGGTGGACAAGCGTAGGACATGCAGGCTCAGGAGACCCAGAAACGTGTCCTCATACAGTGAGGTGAGGCGGTTGTGGGAGAGATCCAGCCACCTGAGAGACTTCATGCCCATGAACGCGCGGGGTGCGATGGCATTGATCTGGTTGTTGTTCAAGTAGAGCTTTTGCAGCTTCTGCAACTTGACAAAGATGTTGATCTTGATGCCCTTGAGCGCATTCCCACTGAGGTCCAGCTCCTTCAGCTCCGTAAGGCTACAGAAGAGTTGGTGCTGGAGGTAGGGGAGCTTGTTCCCAGCCAGGATCAGCTCCCTCAGATTGGGCAAGTCATGGAAAACCTTGTCAGGCAGGACCACCAATGAATTCCAGCCCAGGTTCAGGTACCACAGATTGGAGAGCCCTGCGAACAGCCCTTCTTCCACCTTGCTGAAGAAGTTGTTGTTGAGGCTGAGGGATACGAGGTTCTGGGTGTGCAGGAAGGTGTGGGGTGCCAGGTACTTGAGGCGGTTGCGCTCCAGGTGGAGGTGGTAGAGACTGCGCAGGCCATGGAAGGCGTGCTGCTCCACTGCGGCCAGCTGGCTGCTCTGCAGGTCCAGGAAGTCCAACCCCGAGAGGTTCCTGAAGGCTGCAGCTGGCAGCTGGGTGAAGTTGTTGCCATCCAGCCAGAGGGCTTTGGCGTTGGTGGGGATGTCCTCAGGGAGCTGCGTCAGGTTGCGGCCGCTGCAGAAGACGTTGAGCTCCTCGCTGTAGTCATCCAAGCTGCAGGCACAGGGGCTGGGGCAGCGCAGGGGCTCTGTGGCTGGGGGCTCCTTGGGGACGTCCCCGTCCTGAGGCTGGGATGCAGCAGCCAACAGCAGGACCAGGGGAAGCAGGAGGGGGACCCTGCCTGCTGCGGAGCATAGAGGAAAGGAAGACCATAAGCGGGCATGGGGAGGTGAGCTTGGAACAGCGTCCCCAGAGGACAACACATGGTGACCGTCTTGGTCATCGTGGGACACACAGCTGTGCCACCATGGCGTGAAGCACGTCACCCCCCAGCACTGCAGGGCAAGGATGCTCATTGCCACTGGTTTCCCACGGGAGACAGTAGCCACTGGTGTCACCCAGCCCGGTGGCCGACTCGTCCCAGCCCTTGTGTGTGCACTGCTGCGCCCCATGTCCCCTGTGCCCTCTTGGAGCTTTGTCCTGATACCACAGCAGTAGCTTCTTCCTTTCCCAGGAAAGGCCAGCAGCAGCACTCCTTGTTCCCTTGCCTAATTCCTCCCAAAATTAGCAGAGAACCGAGAGCTATTCATTACAGTGCCCGAGAAGGCACGGGAGCTCCCCAACTGACCTCTTAGCCACAGAAAGAGAGGAAAAAACTGACCGGCAGCCGCATTGCAAAGTGCTGGGGGGGGAGCTGGCCTGTCCCCCTGTGCCCCTCGCCCTGCCCGGCTCTCTCTGCCTTACCTCTGTCTGCGCTCATGGTGGCGGGCGGCTCCGTGCGCGCTCCCGGCCCCGCGCAGGGATGGAGCAACCACCTTGACGGCCGTCCAGCGCCAGCCGCCAGCCTTAACCCTGCAGCTGCTGGGCTCGGCTGCGGTCAGCGTGAGCGTGGACAGGCTCCGGGTTTCTTCCCTCGGTCCGTGCCAGCCTTTCTCCCGACCTTGGGGGTGTGAGAGGATATTTGCAGGAGTGCTGAGCTGTGGAGTGCAGGTTATGTGCTGGGATTTAGTGCTGGGGGTGATGTTACTGCTGGAAGTGGGTTTTGGGTGAGCAGTGAGGACAGACAGATGGATGTGGGATGTCCCACAGTTGTATCCCTGAGTGGTGACAACGTTGGTGCTCTGCTGAGGATGCCTGTGGAGTGAGTATGGTACCAAATTCATTTCCTTGTGGCTCAAAGCGGCTGTGCCAGGGTGATGGGAACAAAAAGGGGAGTCAGCATGGTTCCAACACCAAAAAGGGGAGTCAGCTGTGCCTCGTGAGCATGGAGGCAGGCAGAAGGGCTCACTCTCACCTAAACGTGGGGGATTTCATGCTGAGGGCTTCCCATCAACCTCTCTTTCCCACAGAGATGGAAGATGTTCCAATGTGAACTTTTCTTCCTTTCACAGTCCCGGTTTGCAGCCGCATTGCTCAAACTGCACAGCTCTGTGTGGGGCAGTTTGCCCAGAGCCCAGCAGATCCCACGGATGCTGCACTCTCTGGCCAGACCTGCCTGACAGCTCCCCAAATCCCCAGGAAAGCTCTGACACCATCCTGTATCCTGGATCATTCCCCCCCCCNNNNCCCCCCCCCCCCCCCCCCCCCCCCCTCCCGTGTCCAGCGTGGCTTCTGAAGAATTTTTTATCAGTTTCCAGGAAAAAAAAAAGGCAAAAAGGTCGTTGATGCCCAAGGTGGAGTTGCCCCGTTGGCTATCGGGGATCAGATGAATCATTGGAAAAGCTTCTGTGTGCCCTTCCTGACTCCTCTTCAAGCCTGTTCCTCCTGGGGGATACTCCAGGATGGGACTGGCAATGCTTGTGGTTGGGATTCCAATTGCCCAGCCTGGGAATTGGCATCAACAACACTGAGGATTTTCCTTACCCTGTACCAGTCCCCAGGGAATGAGAAGGGGATGGTGATGCTCCATGGCCACGTTGGTGGAGAGGCTCTGTTTCCACATCCTCTCCATCTCCGTGGATCACAGCCTGTCCTCCCTTGACTCGCAGGGGAATTCTCAGGTCTTCCTTCTTGAATTTTGGCAGAAGTTTCAATCAATAGAAAACACAGGCACATGCCTATGGAAACAAGGGTGAGGGGGGGATGCCAGCAGTTCTTTGATCCACGCAATCGAATGCTGCAGCTCAGCTCGACAAGAAATGTTTTCCCAGTTTCTTTTTGGCTCAGAGCAGTGCTCTCCTCCCCCTCTATTTTAATCTTCTATTCTGGGAAATTATAGATCCGAAGGGAGAAACTGGGCGACGGAGAGCAGCGCACCCAGCACGGGCGCTAAGCACATATTGACACAGTGCGTAATCAATGGGGAGCTGCAAAGAGCTGAACCAGCACGGCCCCATCGCCAATAAATGTGAAGAGAGAGAGCTGCAGGTGGGTAAAGCTGCGTGCTAAAGGCCTCTCTTGTGAAAACAGCGAGCAGACTGCTAAGGACAAGCAGCAGCAGCCCCTCTCCCAGGCCGTGAAGTTGTCGACTCCCATTGCATTCCATGTGATGTCTGGGACCCCAGGAGCGGAGCAGTGCAGCGTCACCGCAGCCCTTGTGGCTCTCCGTGTGCCCAGCCAGGACCAAAGTCTACACCGTTGCTATGGAAAAGGCTGTAATGGTATTAAGGGAGAGAGCGAAACCATCAAAGAAAGCCATTTGGAGCCCATGCTTCCCAACACGGCTTCACCTGCTCAGCTCAGCTCGGGGTCCGGGTTGGGATGTGGGTGTATGCATCCCTCCCAGGGCAGTGGTGGCACTTTGGTGGTGGCACAGCCTCACAGGAGGCACAGTGTGACCCATCACCTTCCTCGTGCCATCCTGTGACTCCTGCCTGCCTCATCCCGGCCCCATTCCCCGAGAATGAGTGTGACACCAGCTGGGTGAGGTGTCCTCGCTCTGTCCCCAGCAGCTCTGAGGAGAGGCGCTGACGTAGGGGTGGACGTTCCCGACGCTTTGCTGTGTGTGGGCAGGGTGCGGGAGGTGCTGGGGCAGCTCAGCGCCCCGTCCCAGCCCCGGCGGCCACCACGATACAGGAGTCAGCCGGGTCCTCCCGCCGGCAGGGGGCGCACCGCAGTTTCAACCTCCACCCGGAAGCTGCCGCATCCGTTGCTATGGAGACGGGGCGAGGCGACGAGGCCTGGCCCGACGAGAGGAGGCCCCGTTTGGCCCTAGGAGGCCCGGTGTTCTCCCAGTTTGCCCCGCAGAGCGTGGGGATGCTGGGCTGGATGGCCTCGCAGCCCTACATCCTGTTCCCTAGGCCTGCAGCTGCATGGCAGGCGTGAGTGCAGCCCTGCAGCAGGTGTTTGTGCGGGGGGATGGCCGTGATGCCTCCCACCCTCCGCCAGGGAACAGTGAGGAGGTGGGCTTTGCCTCCAGCACCAAAAACCCCTTTGGCTGTGCAGGAAGCCTGAGAGCCTGATAGCAAAGCCAGTGCTGCACTAAAGCCTGGCTGGAGCCATGTGGGGCAGTGCTGGTGTGGGCTGCAAGCTGTGAGCGTTGCTGGGGGTTCTGTAGGCTCCAGGACTTCACCCAGGTTCCTCTTGAGCTCTTTGCACATTTAGAGCTACTTGCAAAGCGTGGCTTCTCGGCGACAGCCACCACATCATCTGCACGCCTTGGCCATGAAAAAGCAAGGGGAAAGGAAGGCTCTGCGCAAAGCTGGCCCTTTGTGGGGTTCATGAAACATAAATTTGGTGTTTATGTGGTTTTTCTTTCTTCCTCTTTGGGTTGCAATGATGAACTAAAAAGCCCTTCCTGCCTGCCCGCTTTGCTGTTTGCTGGGACGTTCGCTCTGTATACACAAACCAGGGGAGCAGCAGCTGCTGCTGTGTCTGCCAGGTGCCAGTGCAGCACCCTACGTGAAGGGTTTGCTCCAAACCAGGCCTTTGAGGCACTTTGGTTCCATAAATAACACTGTATGTGTTAATTAGCCTTAGACTGCCATGATGAGCATCGTGAAGACCAGCAGGTGAAGCAGGTGCCCCTTGGGAGCCAGCGTTGGCTGTGGCCACCTATCTGCACCAGGGACACGTGGCTCTGCTCCTCTCCCCACCCTGCTGGAGCACCTGCTGCAGGCTTCCAAGCACCCCAGCGCTGTGGGCGTGTGTGAATTTGGCTTTTCTGCTCGGCTGTGGGTGTGAAGAAACTGTGAATTCTCCTCAGCGCTTTCATTACCTTAATAAAATTACTTCGGGGCTATTAAGTTCTTTTGCAGAAAAATAAGATGTAACTGCATCTTTCATTAGCATCTCCTTCCCCCGAGCCCCAAAAGAGCTCTGCTGCTGGATTGCACATCTGTAGTTTTTTTTATGAAATTCACATCTAGGTGCTTGCAGGCCTTCGGCAGCAGCTTGGACCAGATGCTGCTGGTGGGGAGCTGGAGAATGGTGCTCAGTGCAGTGCTTTGTGTCAGGCCAGGCCCTCTTCCTGTTACAGTTAGCTAAGTTACAGTCTTAGCTTAGCTATAAGAAGATCCTCAGAGCTATGGTCCTTTTGAACATTGCATCATCAACGCTTTCCTTAAGAAAGAAATTCTTATCTAAACTCACCTGCCTTACAGAAATAGCAGAGATAATAAGTCTCAAGATAAAAACCAGCATTTGTTTTACCCCGTGACTGCCATTCACCGAGTTTTTCCAGCATTATCCTCTGTTCCTTAGCACTCTGTAGCCCTCGCTCCTATGTCGGAGGCTCTGTTCAAGCACTTGTAGCTCTGTGCATGCTTGGGGCTCATCCTGGTCATTCTGGAAGATGGCCAGTTGGATTCAGTGACACTGCATAGACCGGCACAGTCCAGATTTAGCTGTCTGGGCTCATCAGAGTTCAGTGTGCCTCTAACTGTGAGTGAACATTGACAAACGAGCTGGGACAAATTCCTCTGAGTCTGCAGCAAGTCAAAGTTCAGCCGTGGCTGTAAGGAAAGCAGCTCCTGCTTGGAGAGCTGCTAGCAACGCTCAGTGTAGGGAACTTCTTCCTGTGCCCTGGGGTGTCTCATTCTCAACACACAACTGGCTTTTGTAGCAGAGTCTTTCAGGGTGTGTTTTGCTTCAAAATTCATAATTTTTCCACATTGCATCCCTGATGCTAAGTGATAAATTTGGGAAGCTCTTCCCTGTTACTGGCTGTAGCTTGGTCAGAGCTGAAAGGTCCTGATCCCTTTGGACAACTCATTGGCCTTTCATATCTGTATTGCTGTCCTCCCTAGATGACACAGGAGGTACAAGTACTGTAAAGATCAAGAAAAAAGTGCAGGGAAGCAAGCTGATAACTGTTCCAGAGCAGAGGGTCGGATTAAAGGCTTGAACTGTGAGATCGAAATCCAGATTTGAAATTCTGTGAGGCTCTCCACAATAGAAACAGAGGCCATTCCTTCAGTATGGTTCTGGGTTTGGAACAGCATTTCCTCACTGGCAGCATTTCTTCACTAGGAGTGTATGCTAAGCTTCTTGTTGAAATTTCTGCCCTGTGCAGTGTCATTTCTTTTCCTCCAGCAGCTCCTGAGGTGACTGCTGTACTTGGCTCCACCTCAAAATTGAGGTGGACAGCTTACCCTCTAGCAACCAAAGTTGACAGCAACACTGCTCGTGGTTTCCCTAGAGAGGAAAGTTGCTGCCACAGAGATCCTTAGGTCCTGCCTTCGCTCTCAGTCCCTATTGCTCTAGTACTGTGCAAAGATCCCAGCCAGTGAGCACTGAGCTTCACACACATGGATTTTGGAAGTGTTGCTGATAAGGAGAACGTAAATACTCTGACAGAGCAAGCAGAGCATCTTGCTAACAAAAATGTGAGTATGAAGATTTGCAGCCTGTCATTGAACCAGCGCTCTGCAAATCCCATGAAGGAAATGGCAAGAGGAAAAACCCCTTCTGAAAGCTGCATTTCCTCACTGGATATGCTGCACTCTTCCCTTCCATCAGCACGGTGATGGGAGAGGAGAGCTCTGCTCGCTGGCACTGGCTGTCGGAGCTGTTTTGTGTCTCTAGGTGCAGCTGCAGGATAGGAATGAGAGGCTCCATGCGGGGTTTGGAGACGTGCAGGAGAGGATGAGGAGGCTGGCTGGCTCCAAAGCAGATTTGTCACCCAGAACAATCTTCAGTGAAGAGGAAAAACTGAAGGTAAAACAGATACCTGGAGAGTTAGAGAGAACTGAGATGTCAAGACATGTGAGCCCAGATCAGCAGTGGGAAATCTCATGAGAAATGTTGGGACCTCCCCCCAAAAGCATGTGTTCCCAAAATCTAGGCATTTCCATTTCCTTGTAAATGTGTAGGCTGGAACAAGCTAGGACTGACTCTGATCCCACCAGCTTCACACACCTTCAGAGGGAGATGCAGGGCTGGCCCTGCTGCACAGAGCTGTGGAAGCCCCGTTCCTGGAGGTGCCCCATGGATGGGGCCCTGGGCTGCCTGAGCTGGTGGGGAGCAGCCAGCCCACAGCAGGGGTTGGAACTGGATGGGCTTTGAGGTCTCTTCCAACCCAACTGTGCTGTGATTCTATGACCTCCTCCTTCTGGAATAGACAAGACCTTGAGGCTGATTCTCTTCAGCTTTTCCTCTTTGAGGCTTCTGTCTTTGCCTTTCTGTTTTGTGTGTCTGAGGGGCAGTGTGCTTCAGAGCCAAAAAGCTGGGAGCTGATTGCAGTTTCTCTTCCCACTATTGCTCAGGTAAAAGGTGCAGCTGCTGGTCATGGAATCATAGAATTATAGAATCATTCAGGTTGGAAAAGACCACTAAGGTCACCAAGTCCAACCCCAACCTGTCCCACCATACCCACTGACCACGTCCCTCAGTGCCATATCCCCACAGTTCTTGAACACCTCCATGGATGGTGACTCTACCACCTCCCTAGGCAGCCTGTGCCAATCCCCACCACTCTTTTCTTTCTCAGAAGAAATTTTTTCTAACACCCAACCTGATCCTTTCAAGACCTCTGTCTCTGAGCTCTGATTCCCTGGTGCAGTCAGTTGAAAAACTTTACTGGCCTCAGAATGGTCCGTAGACTTTTTATACTGTCCTTTCTCTCTCCTAGATTTCCAAAGAACTTGTTGATCTCCAAATTGAGACAAACAAAATGAAGGAGCAGTATGAAACAGAGAAATTTGAACTGAAAAATATGGTATGTGAAAGATTTCAGCTCTGCCAGATATCATTATCCAGGATAAACATTTTGTTGCATATCCATGTTTGCTTGCTAGGTGTGTTCTCTTTTCCTTATCTAGAGCAGTGGACTTCCCCTGTTTCCCCAGATACTATGAAATTCATGTGAAACTCATCTCCCTTGGTGCTAGAACACCAAGTCTGGCCAAATAAATACCGTGTAATTACTACTGGTCTCTGCCACAGCCTAATTCTTTTGCCCCCCCCCCCCCCCCCCCCCCCCGCAGATCCTGGCCCTGGAGAACCGTGTGCTGGAACTGGAGCTCCGCAGTGAGAAAGTCAGTGAGGAACGTGATGCCTTACGGGATCACCTGCACACTCTGGAGACCAGCAGGAAGGAGCTGGCGGATGAGTACATCATTTTGAAGAGTAATTACCTGGCGCTAGGCAAAGAACTCGATCAGGAGGTGAGATGGCATTCACTTTGCTTTTCTCTACTCCGTAACACGATGATCTGACCGATGGACAACTTGGCTGTCTTTGAGTTGTTTATCCAAGCCAGGATCAGTTCTGCACCCACACTGACCTGTGTGACTGTGCTTTTCTGCCACCAGGCTCCCTGTTTTACGCTATCCCACCTCCCCACCCCTAGCAATGCAAAAGAAGAGGTCATTGCAGGTCTGCTCTGAGTGCACGTTTCAGATCCCTTGGACTGCCAGCACGCTTTGTTTCCCTTTTTTCTGCATGGCTTGCACAGGCTGCATGGGAACGCATTTGTAGTCTCTCTCACTTCATTTGGTGGCGGGAAGGGGCCTAGAAGTTTTTGAAGTTGACAAGTTTATAAAAATATGAAATACAAGCACGTTTCTGATTCTCCCTTAAAACACAGCGAATCTTCTGGTGACTGTTAAATTAGTGATGATTAAGTGAAGTATTTTGGATCTCGGATTTGTGCATTTCTTTGGCAAGAATAGCTACTTAATAGGCCTTCCTCTCCTCCCTCCCCCTCCCACTTCTTCTCTTTGAATTGGATCGGATGACTGACACGCTCCTGCCTCCCACCCCAGCAGATATTTCAGCTGGTGCAGCCAAATGACCTAGTTTACTGTGCTGGCCTTGTGCTGACCTGTGATGGGAAGATGTGGGGCATGCTAGCTTAGAATCATAGAATCTTAGAATATTTTGAAGTGGAATGAGCCTGCAAGGGTCATTGGCTCCACACAGCTCTAAGCACTGTTGGAATGAAACATCATCCTACAACCAACAAAGCTCCACCTGGAGCATTAGTCCTTGTCTGTCCCTTCTCTCTTCATGATGAGCATCTATCTACAGAACTCAAGTAGAGGGGGGTATACAAGACCGTCCTGTTCCAAAGAAATCACTTAATGACTTGTGAAGTTATCCTTGTTAATATGGATGTGAAAGAGAGTGGGGTATGTGCTGCCAGCCTGTTCCAGCTGGTAAGTGAAAAGCCAATTGAACTAACATGTTGCACCATGCAGCAGGGATGCGTGCAGATTACACACACACGTGTGCTGCCATTTGTCTCCCAGAAACTAAGGAGGGAAAATTTCCCATGAGGAGGCAAACTTGACTGCTCTCAGGGTGTGAACCCCCCTGCAACCTTCATCCTGGAGAGCACGAGGCAGAGTGTGTGCAGCTGACTGTCAGCACTCTGCTGAGACAAGTACAGCATTCAGCCATCTCGGTTGCTTCTTGTCCCCAAGGGGGTGCAGTATGTTAGTCAAAAATTGGATTTTCAGGTTGCTGACATCTCAGAATGATGGCTTTAACAAGTTAGCAGTAATAATACGCTGTTTTCACGTGGAATGTTTCAAAGGGAGAAAAGCACATGGATTACGTGACTGGATAGCATCCTGAAGAAGCAGTGGAGCAAGGAGCAGAAGCCAAGGGTGAAATCCTGGGTTGTAATCAGTAGGGTGAGGATTTTCCCCCGGTGTTTTGGCTCTGGCTGTTGAATATCCCTGCCTGAAGCGAAAGAGGCTCCAACTTGGCAAGCCAGAGCTTGTCGTGGCATGGGCCTCTTGCTCATTATTTTCCCAGTGTGGACTTTCCCAAAGGAAATGGCAAAAGCAGCCTGCGGTTCTGCCCCCTCCCCTTCCCCAGAGCCCTTCGCGGGAGACAATGAACCTTTTACACATTCCCAATTACAAGTGCTACTTGTGACCTTGCCAATATGTTGTCATGGCTGCTTGGCGCAGAAGCAGCTCCGCGGGCTCATTCATGGTCCCTTGTAGGGAACAGTTAGAGTCTCTGAATTGTTACAACCCCCATTGTACGCCTTGATTCACAAATCGCCCTGTGTCTGTCCCCGCGAAGGAGAGCGGCAGCGCTGCCCTTTCCTGTCCCTGGGGAAGTGCCTTCCAGAAGATGCCAGTCCGACACTTTGTGCCTGTTTTTCTAACGCGCTGTAAATTCTTCCTTTTCAAGACTCTGACCTTTTCTCAACTCCCTATTTCCTCCTCTTCTTTTGTTTAGGGGCTTACACAGGCCGGAGCGGTGCTACAAAGCGAGGCCGGCGCAGGGAACCCAAATGTGCACCAGTTCCATGCGGGGTTTTCCCTGGAGCAGGGCCAGGATTTAGGGTACATAGGAGGCAGAGAAGCCCATCCTGAACCTGGGACTGCCTCCTTTTTTTTTTTTTTTTTTTTTTTTCCCCTGGCCAAAAAAGCCGGTTGTTGTGTGCTGATGTGACCCCCTCTGATCAAATTGTCGGGGCTGACAGCTGCAGATGGATGGGTTTCGGTTGGGGAACAAGCCGCCTGTCTCTGCGTAGCTGTCAGTTTTCACAGCTGTATATCTCACCTCTTTGTCAGCCTCTTTTCTCCTCTCCTCTCTCCCTCAGCCCACCCTGTGCTATCTTTTGATAAGCTATTCTCTACATGGATGACTCAGATGACCTCTGCCTCCCATCCTCTCGATTCACTGCCATGGTAACAATTACTCAAGCTTGTCCCCAGTCATAAACCCCATCAAAGCTTTGTTATCTACATAGAAACCCTCCCGTGAGACATGAATTCCCCCAGTGTTCCTTCCAGATCACCTGTAACAGAGCTTTTCTCATTCAGATACTCTTTATCTTTTGGAAATGTGTCACTTCACACCAGCACTGCTTTGAATCTCACTGCCTACACGGTGCTGTGGGCTGTCTGCTTCTGGAGGTATGCATTCAAACAAAACTGGAATTAGCTGAGTGGCATCAGCCGAGATGGATGGATATTTGGCCATTCTCCCTTACATTATGTAGTCCAGCACTGTTCAGAACCATTGTTTAGGAAAAGACGTGTCTAAATGTTGGGAAGCTGTGTGGGGAGTACAGAATTGGGGTGAGGAGGGAGGCTGGAGGGCAGGATGGAGGGGTGTTGGAGGAGCAGTGCCCAGGGCTGAACCATGATTCCTATCTGAGAGTGAGATGGGTAGGGGAGTAAGGTTACACACGTGGACAAGCCTGCACGCTGTGCCTCCTGCCTGACAGTGATACCCTGCATTTCCATGAGAATTAGAAAACCACTGATATCGTTGGACGTATGAGAGAGAACTAAAAATAAAACTTGCTTTCAGGAGGGGATGCAAGCGCCGGCTTTGTGTACACACCAAGAGCAGTGAGTGTGTGCTGAACAAACAGCGTGCAGAGCTGGAGAGGCAGCATTTCAGGAGCTCTGTCCTTCTTGTTTGGTCTGGCAGGTCTTAAAGAATGAAGAGCTCAGCCTAGAGCTGCTCAGCCTGACCAATGCAAGGAGCACACAGGGCAACCACCACCACTCCCATGCCTTGGCCACAGAGCCTGCTGCTGAGCCAGACAGAGTGGGAGTAACGATGCATCGTCCCCCTGCTCAGAAGGTGAAGGTAAGGCCACTCTGCCTTTCTCCCAGTCGGAGCTCTTTGGAGAACAGGGGTCTGACATGTACCTCCTTCTGTCTCTTCCAAAAACAGCCAGAAGACGTGGCTGCCCCTGAACATGAGTGGCAAAACCCGGGAAGAAATGTGAGTGTGTGGGTGCTTGGGAAGCAGAGGGGGGATTTACTCCGAGTGGCTGGTACTTGGGTTCTGTGGGTGAACTGATGCCTCGATTTAGTTTATTTTCCTTAAGCTGTGAAGCTGAGAGCAGAATAACTCCAGTTCTTGTGCAGCAAAAGCTGAGAGAAGGCAGCTGCCCATTGGGGAACGGAGGCAGGAGTTTAATAACCAACAAGTGCAGGAAATACTTGCTTATTGTCAATACTTGAAAAGATGGAGGTGGTAAAGCACCCAAAAATGGGAGCACAGAGCTATTTCCTGCCTCATTTCCATCCTCAGCCTAGTGACACCAGCTTGAGCTCCACCAGCAGCTCCTGATAGGATCCTGATTATCAGGGTTGGCATCTCATTAGGGAGAGCAACTCCAAATGAAACATCATTCCTGGTGTGCTGCAGAGCACTGCCAGCCAAACCTGCCATTTCCCCTGTGTTTCTCTACCAACAGGATTTGGGCTAGCTGGAGGCTCTCTTCACTTTTTCCTTGTTCAAGAATCCTTCTGTTTCTATCAGCTCTCCTTCTCATCTTCCCATTTGCCTGTCCCTCAGTTGCTTGGAAACCAGGATCATATAAAAGAGGAGATTGAAAAACTGAAGCAAACCTATGATTCGCAGCAGCAGAAGCTGGAAGAAAAAGTGTGAGTGTTTGGGAGCACGCATGTCCTTCCCTTGTTGGGCACTGATGGAGCTCATTGCAGCTGAATGTGATCCCTACAAAAAGGAGCGGAAGCAGCCTCTCTTTGGTGTGTTCACTCTTAGAAGTGAGGGCTGGAAGCAAAAGCTGATGTTTGCAAGGATCTGAAGAGGGTTGAATGTCTCCTTAAGAGTCTGTTTAGATCCCTGACTGACTCGTGCACCCTTGAAAATCCACTTTCAATGACATATGTGGCAATGTGTGGCAGCGTGGAGAGCCTCAGCCTTACCCCCCTGCAGTCAGCAGGCTGCAGTGGAGCCTGGGTCCCCACAGAGGCTGTCCCAGTAGGGAGCTGGCCAAACCAGAGCCTCATGCCAAGCAGGACATGTATCTTTGGTTGTTAGAGCTCTGCAGCCTCTGCTCAGCACTCAGCTGGTGATGGCCAGCAGCACCTGCTGTAAGGTTTCTGTCATTACCTGCAAATTCCTTCCCAAAGCTGGCAGTACTGGACTTAAAAAGATGTTTGGGGTCTGCAAATAAATGTGCTTTCCTCCTCTGTGCCCAGGATCGCAATGGAGAAGGAGCTGCAGAAGGCAAAGAAAGCAGTCCATGACCCCCAGCAGAAACTGGCAGAGCAATCAGCAGTAAGGCGAGCTCCTTCCCATCCTCCCCTGTGGTTCAGATAAGAGTGCAGTGCACAGACGCCAGGGCTGGCAGCATGGCAGGTGGCTTGCATAGAGGTGCTCCAACTGTCCAGGGAGTTTGTGGCACTGAGGTGCTTCTCCCTGCATGGTTTCCTTCTTCAGGTGTGCAGTGCATGTGCTGGGATGTGCTGCTTGCTTGGGGTGGGAGGAACTGTTATTTTTGAAAGGGTTGGTGAAGTCACTTGCGGGGGATTGCAAATGACAAAAGGTAGCAGAGGAATATAGACTATAAACATTTTGAGAAATATTCTGTACAAAAAGCCCTTCCCAACATCTCAGCTCTGGGGAAACAGAATATCTGAGAATTAAGCCCCCATTTCTTTTCCAGCTCTGTAGTTCCCCTTGCCCAGCTGGAGGGTGAGGGCAGCAGTGTGTGCTTGCTGTGCCTAGGTGCTGCTCGCCTCTCAGAGCCAACTCCAGGAGGTGGAGGCAGAGAACTCCCAGCTACAGCTGAAGCTAAAGGAGCTGAGTGAGGAGTACCGCTGCCGGCTCACGCAGTACATCAGGGACGTGGCGGTGGGTACCCCCAGGCCTGGAGGAGGCTGCATCCTTCTTGCAGGCTGCTGTCGTTCCCCTCCTCACTGGGCTCAGGGAGGTGGTGGGAGCTGTTCGTGAGGCTGGAAGATCTCCCCACCCCATGCTGGGATGCTTGGCTGAGTCCTTGACATGGCCTGGGGAGGAGGTGCCAGCCCCCTCCTGGCGCAGATTTCCTGTACGGCTACATTGAACCATCAGCAAGTTTCTGCTGGGACTTTCTTTCTTGGTCAGATTACTTGGATTGAAAGATCCTCTTATTTACTATGGCTGCCTTCCAGTTGGCTTCCAGTCCCCATTGCCCTGACAACTCCCCTCGGCAGGCCAGGCGATGCCACTGCTGCTTTGTTACTGCCTCGCTTTGCTGCCTCCGTGGTGCCCCTGCTGCTGTCCGCAGCGGAAGCTCTGCCAGCCCTGTGGTCGGCACAGAGCCATGTAATGCAAGTGCCTGGGACCTGCTCTGGGAACAAGAGCCTTTGGTGGAGTAAGGCCCACAGAGCACAGTGAGATGCAGCAGAGAGCAGGCATCTCAGGCAGGTTCAGGCATGGACACCTGCTTGCATTCAGCAGGGAATGGGAAGAAGTCTTTTTTTACCTCCATAGTTGTTGGCAATTGTAGTGGAAATGCTAAGTCACAGCCTGAGCCAGTGATTGAACACCTGGTGGGAAGGCAGGGCCAAGCCAGGGGAGCTCAGGTGTGTGCAATGCACCTGGGTGACCAGAAGGGCTGGAGCCAGGATCCACCCCTTCCCAGCCCTCATTAAGAGTTGGCAGTAGAGGTGAGGGGATCTGCCTACCTGATGCCTTCCAAAGCTAAGCAGTTTTTCTTCCTTTGTTTCTGTGTCCGCAGCTGCTGCATTTGGGCTTGTTCTCATTTGCTGTAGCCTAAAATTATGCTACTCTGCTATTATTGCTGTCCATTCCATCGTGTTATAATGTTACAGCAGTAATTGCTGTCCTGGAAGGTTAGCACTGAAGAACATGGGGGGATGATAGATCAGGAGACTGAGCAGAGCAGTGTTTACTATGGAGAACAGCTTAACTTGTATCGGTATCTCATTGCTAACAGGAGTGGGGCATGGTGGAAAGAATGCAAGATCAGAGATGGTGCTGGTTGTGTTCCATAAATGGGTCATGGGACACTGGTACAGTGCACCTATGCCTTGAAGGGGGAGGTGGAAGTTCTTTTAAGTTAATTATTGTCTCTTTAAAATTAGAAGGTATGTGCTATCCTGAGTGCTGTTATCACAAATATTCCTGGAACTTCCATGTGGGAAATGGGTTATGTGCCTTTAGAGAATGACCTGTCTTCTCCATTTTCTCTTCTATATGTTTAAAGGAGTACGTGGACAGCAAACCCAGCACCCAAACTGGGCCTAGCAAGGCCCCAGCTGAGCGTGCAGACATGAAACACTTTGTGGACAACGTACTGAAGGACATCAGAGCTTCCTACAAGGCTCGGGAGGAGCAGCTGGCTGGAGCAGCACGTGGCTACAAGAAACGCATGAAAAACTTGGCCAAGAAGCATGAGAACCTGCTGATTGCATACAGGTAGGGCTAAATCTGAGCTCCCTCTGTCTCTTCAGTTCATTGCTGAGACAAAGTGGAGGTGCCCCATGGCACCAGCACCCAGACCCCTTGCTGCAAGGAAGGCAAGCAGGGTTCCTAGGTGCACAGAGGTGTGGAGGGCATGTTTGTCCCCATGCTGTTGACAAGCCAAGAGGAACGTGTCTGCAGCTGCACACCACAGTGCTTGGGCACACCGGAGCTGCTTGTTACACAGGTTCCTCCTTTGCAAAATTTAGGGTGAGAAACTGAATCCCCGTTGAATGGTGTAAAAATACAGGAGTTATTTGTGGTACCTCTGCTTCCCAACCCTTCCTGCAGTGCTCTCAGCTCTGCTCCACAGCTCTCAGCAGCTTGGGCTGTGGGAAGCATAAAAGCCACAAATAGCTCTATAGGATGAGCTTCCCTCAGAAGCACTCCCAGGAATACTGCACATGCTGCTGCTGGGCTCTGCCACTCACCCTTTGCAGATGGTCTGGCTAAGCTAGCAGGACCCAATGGTACCTCCTGCAGCTGCAGCAACCCTCAGTGCATTACTTCACCAAAGCTACCAGAGACTAATGTCTCTGCCATGTTGGTACAGTGTGCAGCGAGAGAAGATCCGCTCCGTGGGCAGCAGTGAGATGGATTCTGGCCCTGCTGAGCTCCACTTTGCCATCACAGACCCAGAGCTGCTGACAAACACAACGCAGGAGCTAAACCGGCTGCGGGAGAACAAAGCCAAACTGGAGATGCAGTTACACGAATTGCAGAAGGTATTGCTGGGCTGCTGGTTTACTGCAGCAGTGCGGCTGGGTTGGGAAGCTCTCACAAGCAATAGATAGAGCAAAGAAACCCCTCTCTTCCCCAGGGGTTTGCTGTGTCTCTGTGGCACAGACAAGGGCAGTGCTTGCTCACTTTGGGATGTCCAAGCAGAAGCAACACACACAGAAGCACATTGGTCAGCTCTGCAGCCTGCCACTGATTCTGGCTGGGCAGAGTGAGGTATTTCTTGAGTTGTGTGAGATACATTGATTTAAATATGAGCAAAATGGAAGACACCTTAAGACTCTCCTACACTTCCTTGGCAGAGCACTGGGAGTTGCTGGGGTGCTAGGATACTTTATCACTTTGAAGACAATGGTAAGGACTGTGGTGAGATTGCAATGGTTTAATGCTTACAGAAATACTCTTTTTCCTTTGCCTTCAGAAAAGACTGAAAGAAACCTCTGGTTTTCAGCTGTCTCCTGACCAGTAAGTTCTCTTCTTTTCTTTTCCAAGGAATAATTGTAATTCTGAATTCTCCCTGCTGTATGGATTGAGGAGTCTTTTTTTTTTTTTTTTTTTTTTTGCATTACTTGGAGACAGTAATAAATAGGGAGAAAGAGAGCTGATAGGAACTCATCCGAGAAGAAAAGCCAGCTGTCGTCTCAGTGCAGCATTTCCTGTGGTGAAATGAGTTGGTCATTTGGGCTTTGATCCAAGAAAGCTCTTAAGCACATGTTTGATTTAATCATGTTTTTAGTCCCACTGATCTCTTTGGAAGCTGGAGTTAAGCATACGGTTGAGTGCATTGGTGGCCCACAACCTGAGAAAGGCCAGTGAAACAACACCAGCCTGGAATGGCCTTGTTTCTCCTCCCTTCCAACACAGAAGCTGGGCAGGAACACTCAGGTGGCCATGTGCTGGCACTGCCCTGGCTTGCTGATGGGCCATTTTTTGGCTCATTTTGATCAGTCTCTTCCCCCTGCTTCATTCTTCTATTGAAATTCTACCAGCTGTAGCATGCAGAGGTAGAATGAAGTGTCAGAAGAATACGAGCTGAGATTTTTCTGCTTTTTAAAATGTGGTGGCCTAGAGTACATACCAGGTATTTCATTAGCTGGATTCCAACACAGAAGAGCTGTCCAATGCCCAAGCCATTGGCTCCAGAGGAGCGCCTTGGAGAAGAGCTTGAGCCTTACCAGACTCTGCCATGTCTTCCACACTGAAAAAGATAATACTAATCCTTGAACAGATGTGCTAATTTAGACAGATGCAGGAGCAAGACAGAGAAGTACTAGAGCACGGTGATGTATCTTGTTAAGGTTTTCATAGCTGTGAAGAAGCTCTACACGCTTCAGAACATTTGTGTCCTGTGTGCTGGTAATTTTTACCCTCGAGGTCACCTTGCTGCTCTCAGCAGAGACATGAAGCCTGGTGTCACCACAGCACTGCAGCTGTAACTACAGCTGGATTTCTCGTCCTTATCAGTGTGGGTTTGCTGTTTATTGTTCTCTTAACTTCTGCTCCCATGAAATTTCAGCCATGCTTTTCATGTGCCTGGCCTGAGTTGCAGCCACCAGAGGGAACTCGCACGGCTGCAGCGGAGCCGCTCTGCAGGCTGCAGTGCTCGAACACAATGCATTCCTCAGTTCATACAACCAAAATTCCCTGAGCATCAGATGTGACCTGTATTTTGCTTATTCAGACTGGGACAGAATAGGAAGAACTTTCCCACGGCTGGGCTGCACAGACAGCTCACCTATCGCACTCAGCGCTCCGAGCAAGCGGCTCTATGCTCACAGACATGAAAAGCGCCAGCGTTTGGCATTGATCATCCCCAGCTCTCTGTTTCCATAAAGTTCAGTCTTGCAGTGTCAGGTTAATGACTCTTTCTGCTTGGAGTCCTCTGATGTATGAGTGTTGATGTGAGCTTGGAACAAATCCAGCCATCCCAGTGGGAATCCCAGGTTGGCAGAAGGGCTGTGACTCTCATGCCTGGGCACGGGGACAGCGCTGTGTGCCCTGAAGAGGTTGGGGGCATCAGGATAGGAAAGGTTCCAAGCTCTGTGCTTTATGCTCTGATGGACTTGAGTGCATCCAACCCCCAGACAGAGCAGTGTGACTTGTACATGGGCTGGTTTGAATGCCTGTGCATGATCACAGTCTTCTCTCTCCTAGGAAGCGGGATGAAGAGGGCTGGGCAGAGGTCAGGAAGCAGCTCCAGGAGTTCACACACACCACCCAGGTAAAGGTCTGGAACAGCCTATCTGACACAAGTCTAGCATTGACTTACATGCTGGGGACACAGTGCTCCAGGTGGGCCCTTCTCTGGCCAAAGCTTTGGCCGTGAGCACCAAGTGACTCCACCAAGTGACTTCTACCAAGTGACTCTGCTCAATGACCAGTGGTGTACTCAGGGTTTGCTACTGAAAGGAGTAGGCCAGCCTCTACAGCTGCACATTGCTGGCTAGTATTTCTCCATCTCTTGTTTCACAGCTACCTCAATATTTGATCTGAAACAAGTTCTCAACCTTGGTTCAAGCTATAGAAATCTAGTTTGAATGTGATTATGCTAGTCTGGTTCCCTCTGGGTGCAAAGACATTTGCGCTGCAGGAAGGAATGTTGTGCCTTGGAGTTCTTTCCATCCATAACATTGTCCTGCAGCAACCATGAAACTTGAGGGATGTGAGGGGGCTTAGCAGAAATGGGGTTTGCTGTCCAGCAGCAATGGCAGCAATAGGGCTGCTGGGGAGAAAGAGGGGTGCTGACAAAACAGTGCCCTGTGGGACACCTGGTGAAGGGCTTTGGAAACAGAATGGAGGCTCTGGTGGGTAAACTGTAGATTGTTGAACCAGGGTACTGCATTACTGGGATGTCCCAATCATCTTGTCTGTATGGCCGATGGCCAGGAGGAAAGCTGGGCCATTGTCACCAGGCTTCTTTCTCTGAGCACACTGATCTCCTGGCTGCCTCTGCAACTTCATTCCAGGTGGTGCCAGAGCCAAAGCACCTGGTCCCACCTGGCAGAGTGGGGCTGAGCACCTGCATTCTCATCTCACAGACCTTCCTCCTTTCTCCATGCTTTCCTTGCCACTCCAGGAGGATCTGGAGAAGGAGAGGAGTCAGCTGCTGACAAGGGCAATTGTGGCAGAGGAACAGGTGTTGGAGCTGCAGGATTACATAGAGAAGCACCTAGCAAGGTGAGACAGTAGGATTCTCCTTGCATGTTCCCTGCCAGAGGTTTGTGATTGCCTAAGACATCATGGTGCCCTCTGCTCTGTCAGTGCCCAACCTCATTGCTGCCTTCCCTCAGCACTGTCCAGTGCAGCTATTGTCATACAGCACATCCAGCTGTGTGGACAGCTGGCACCAAGCCCTATTCTGTATGGTCAGAAGGCACATCTGCTGTCCTGCCATGCATCTCCCTTCCATCAGCATTAGCCCATCCTTCAGAGGTGACTAAGGGAGGGTTGCCTAAAATCCAAAGCCTTCCTTATGGGCTCATTGTGCCCCGCAGCAGGCAGAACAGCTGCTGGGGCATGGAAGGCTGAGAACAACTAGAGCACATCTGTTGGAGCAGTGTCCAACTCTGTCCCTTGCACAAAGCAGCAGTCAGCTCTCTGGGAGCTTGACTCATGCTCATGGGCTGGTTGCTGGTTCTAGTACATGGCAGAGGTGATGAACAGCTCTTCCCAAGGAAAAGGACAGAGTTTTCTGTCTGTTGGAGCTGAGATATCAATGTGGCTCAGCACCTGTGCTGGCTGGCAAGCAATACTTGACAACACATGTTCTTAGCATGCAGCAAAGGCAGGGTGAAGCAGGCACTTAAATTGATCACCTCCATGAGTGAACTGCCAGCAGGGCCATGGCCATGCTGCAAATCACTGTTGTCTTCCTCTTGCAGGTACAGGCAGGAGGTGCTGTGGGTGAGGAAGCTCGCCAGTGGTGAGGAACCACGTGCACGCAGTGCTGGGGCAGCTGATGCTCATTCACTGCCCAGATCGAGGAGGGCCATCGGCCGTGAGCTCTAGCTCTGCCCTGCAACTCCAGGAAGCAGCACAGTTGTAGGAAAAAACAGAGTTTAAAAGAAAAGGACTTTCAGTCCTGAGACTGGCCGAGGCAAGCATCATTCCCTTGCCGAGAGCTGGGATGCACAATGAAGGGAACCATATGGGTGTCCTCAGTGTCAGATTAACTACTAAAATGGAACAAGGCAGCAGTGCTGTGTTTGTCCTCTGACCACTCTGCTGTGAGAGTTCTCCTTCCCTGAGCGCACTGTGACTGGGACACAGGGCCACCCCCTGGGCAACTGTTTGCTGTGTGATTGCAGGAACAAGTTCCTGCTCCTGCCCTCAAGGATGCTGCAATACTTTTCCTAGGTCAGACCTGCAGTGAGGTGCTCTTGGTTTAAGGGCTGGCTCTGCTCCTGCCTTTGCTCCTGTCTGAGTTTTTAAAAGAAAAGGGCAGGAGTGGTTCAAGCTGGACTTTGCCTCTAAGAGGTTACAGAAAGAAGATGAGCTGCTCTGTCATGGTGAGAAAACCTTTTTTCCTCTGTATTGGAACTAGAAAAAGAAATGCTGTGTGATGTGAGCAGGACCAAACTGAATTCTTCAGCAGCAGGTGAGGCAGACCAGCACCTTCCTGCCCCCTCCTCAAGAGAACATTGGAGCAGAATCCTGGGGCAGTGAGCAGGGGCTGCTCAGGCCCTCTGGCTCAAAGGCAAAGCACAAGACTCTGAGGAAAAGCTGTACAAACATTTATTCTCAGAAACTACAGACTGAAAAGAGGCACTGGAGGTGTAGCCCTTACATTGTGTACTAACTCAATCTGATTTTCCTTCTCCCTTGCTGATCACTTTGGAAGGCACTCAGAGGCAAAGTCCTGGGGGAAGAGCCCAGCTAAGCACTGCTCAAGCACTGGTGGGAGAGCTTCTGATGATGCCACATTGCTGAGCCTTTGTACCAGGCTGGAGGAGCTGCTGTCAGAGTGCACATCCCTCTGTGCAGCTCCGTGCCATGCGCCGAACCTCCTTCATGTCGTAGGCCCAGGCTTGCTCCAGCCCCTGCCCAATGGTGCTGCTTGGTGTCCAGGAGGGGAAGGGGAAGCGCCCAGCCACCACGCGTGCCTCATCAGGGAGTTCTGCCAGGAGTTTGGCAGCCAGGGGCGGCTTCTGGGGAGAGAGAGACAGCTGAGGCCGGTTGGCCTTAGGGAAGCATCACTGTGCTGCAGTGACCCACTTGCTGTCCCATAGCAAAATGGTTCCCACATGGTCCCCAAAAGTGGCAGTGTCCAGTGGCCCTTTCATAGCACAGGCTGGGCTGGCTCTGTGATTTTCTTCACCTTCAGTCTCCTATTTTTGGCTATATTTTGTAAAGACTCTGCTCATATTCTAGATCTGCTCTCTTTTCTAAGGACAATCTCCCTGCTAGGCTTGCTGAGGATAGCAGTGTCTCAGCACACAGACTTACCACGCTGGGAGCCAGGAACACAATCACGTTGTAGCAATCAGAAAGATTCGCCTTTAAAGAGAAGGAAAAGGGAAATGAAAGAAGCGAAAGGCTCTTGGAGGATAAGTATGGGGGCACTGCTGAGTGCTGTGAGCCTTAAGGCAGGCAAAGATGCCATGGAATCCTTGGATATCCCAAGTTGGAAGGGACCCATAAGGATCATAGAGTCAAAGCTCCTGCCCTGCCCATGGCTGGCACCCAGCACAGCCACTGTCCCATGCAGCTGTTACCTTCCACAGATCCTGCTTCAGGAAGGAAACCTTCCCCTCATATCCAGCCCTGCGGGCCCGGTACCTGGCAAGCCACAGCAGCCAGGGGTTGAGCTCATAGCCAACAGCTGGCCGGAGTCCTTGCTTGTAAGCTTCAATCACCTGGGGGGTGAGAGAACTGGGGCTGAAATAAAGCTGTTAGGTTTGGGGCCAGGAGACCTCCCTGCTGCCTCCTGCCCTGGACACTGGGCCCCCCCCTGGGGACACAGATGTATATTGGTGTGTATATAGGAATTACTGGTGGATAGAGGGGAGTGCAGGGTGGGTGCCTGTAGGGGGCACAGGGGTTGCATGTAGGGTGTACAGAGGGGTATATGGTTGTGTTGGAGTTTATAGGAATGTACCTGGGGGGCACCCTGGGGCAGCCCTCCTGCACCAGCCCTAGTGGGGGCTTGTTGGGTGCAGCACTGTGGCCCTGGGGATCTCTGCACTGGGGATGCCCTTGAGGTTCCCTCCCTCACCGGGGCTCCCCCCTCTCTTCCCCCCCTTACGAGTCGGCCGTCCCCAGAACCCAGATCCGCCGTCTTCCCCGTGCGGCCTCGCAGCAGTCCCATCACACTGGCCACTTGCTGGGCACTGGATGGCACATATGGCACCTGGAGTCAAACAGCAGAGCAGGGGGATTTGCTCCGCACCCAGCCCGCCGAGCAAAGGGGATCCCATTTGGGGGGGCCTTAGGGGGTACCTGCAGGTGCAGCGGCACCCGGCGGAAGCCAGGCATGAGCACGGCAGCCCACACAGCATAGGCAGCCAGGCCGGTGGTGGCCGCCAGCTGCAGCAGCCCACGGCCCCCCAGGGCCTCCCCCTGCAGCTGCCCCGCCAGCTCGTCCAGCGCCTCCGCGTCCATTGCTGCCGGAAGGGGCGGCCCCCAGAACACCCGGGCCTTCCGTTGCCTGCATGGCCACGCGCCCACTGGGTGCCTTTCATCTGCTGCTCAGCAGCCAGCTCCAAGGCTTTGGCTGGGGTTGCTAAAGGTGGCAGCTCCCGGTGTGGTTGTGCACGCTTTGCAAGCTTGTGCACACTTCTGCGTGCTTGCACACACCCACGTGTGCTTGTGCACGGTTGTGCGTCCAAACTTGGAGCTCGGTTAGCTCCCCACTGCTGCTGGCCCCGTGAGGCTGTGGGAAAATTCCAGCCTGTGGGTCACAGCAGGGGGCCCGTGCCCACCCTCAATTAAAACCCAAACCCGGGAACAATACCACATCAATTAGGGGAGTGGTGCACAAAGGGCAGGCAGCTTCCCAGCCCTGTGCCGGCGGTTGTTGATGCATCATCGCACTGCATGTCTTACAGCCTCCTCCCTGTATCCCCTATGCCCATGGTAGAAATTTTGGGCTGGCTCCCAGCACCCTGACCCCGAGAACCTGAGGCCAACCCAGAATCCTAAGGGGAACCCCATGTCCCTGTGATGGGCTGACATTCCTGTGCTCCCAGGCACTGCTCAATGTCATTCAGCCCCCATTCAGCACATGTCCCAGAGCAGCGATGGGAACAGGGCACACCATGAGGACAAAAGGCCGTTTTTAATATTGATATCTATTTATATTTGCATAGATTAAGCACTTCTTGCCATGTGGATAGACACTCTTGAAAACCTCCTTGCTGTTTATATACAAGAAGTCGCCCATGGCCATGTCCCTGCACAGCACCACTGCATGGCATGGGGCTCGATGGCAGAGGAGCAGTGGGAGCTGCCCCTCCCTCGCCCTCAGTGCTGTGAGACAGCCCCAGCATGTCTGCAGCCAAATGGGACATGGGGATCACTCCAATTTTCTGCAGCTTGCTGGCAGGTGGAGCCAATTAGGCTGAGAGTGAGCAGAAAATCGGGGAAATAGGATCCAGGGGCTCAGGGCTGGGGGTTTGGGCAGCACAGGGAGGGGAGGAAAAGGGGGGGAAACCTCAGGGTGCAGCTCGAGCCCCCCAGGATGCCAGAGGGAGGGTGATGAACGAAGCCATTCCCACACACAGGGTGCTGGGGGTCGTGGCGTGGTGCAGGGTTGAGCAGGTGGCCATGCGTGGGGAGCGTTGGAGCCCCAGTCCCTCTCATCCCTGGTTGCTCCCCCCGCCGAGGCCACGGCGGCTGCAAAGCGGCTCCAAGAGCTGGGAATTTGTCACCATGCGCTGGGAAAGCTCCTTCCCACCAGCTGTCGGCATCGCCAGGGGTCCCAGGGGTCGGATTTTGCGTGGTTAAAGCTGGAGGGGGGCTGTGAGGCAGAGCCCAGGGCTTGGGATGGGCATCCTCCACTGGTGCTGCATATAGGTACCCAAAACGCCCCATCCTGCCTGATGCTGGGCAGCCTCTGGCCCTGGGGGAGCTCATCTTGACCCTATGGGGCATTCCTGACCCCAGAGGCATCATCCTAACCCAATGGGATACCCCTAACCCCCATGAACATTATCCAGTCCTACAGGGCATCCCCTAACCCTGAGGTCATCATCTTGTCCCTATAGGGCATCCCTGGTCCCAGCAATGTTGTCCAATCCTAACCCTAACCCTAACCCTAATCCCCTAACATCAGGGACACCATCCAACCCCACAGAACATCCCCCGACCCCACGGCATCTCCAGGTCCCAGAGTGCTGTGTGCAGTGGGGACGTGGGGACAGAAGGGATGGGGGAAGCAGGACAGCCCTGGGCCAGACACGAGATGAGATGTCCATCCCCCTGTCCATCCCCCTGCTCGGGGCGGGCTGCGCACAGCCGGCCGCTTTTGTGCGTTCCTTTGTGCCCCGGGATTCGCGCGTCCCGGCTTTTATCTGGCGGTCGGGAAGGGGGAAGGAACGGGGGGGGGGAGAGCGGGAGGGTAGAAAAGGGCTGGGGGGGAGAAAGTGGCGCGAAACAGCCGCTCCCTTTGTGCAGTGGGGATGGTGACAGGGACCTTGGGGACATTCCATTTTGCCCAAAGGGCTCCTCGATTGTGGTGGCCATGATGTCCCCTGTGCTGGAACAGAGTTGTGTAGGGGGGTCAGCTTGTGCCCCCCCATGTGGCACAACCAATGGGGACAGCAATCACCTCCAGACCCCCCATCCTGTGTCCGGTTGACACAAAACCCCATGCCACACCGCCATCCTCACCATCACAGTGCCTCTCACCTTGTTTTCCACCCTGCGGAGGAAACATGAATGGGATGGAGCCTGCTCACTGCAGCTCTGCCCGCTGCTTGGTGCCAAGAGGCCGTTTGGCTGAGGGTGGGTTTTGGGGGGGGATGCTGAGAGGACAGAGATGCCAGGACCACGGTGCCATCCCCGAGACCCAACTCACCATCACCATCCCCAACCCACAGTGGTGCTGACACCGTGACACCTCCTGTAGGAAGCCACAGCCCGGCGCCGCGGGGAAGCAGGAGTGGGCGGCCCCGACCTGGGGCAGAGGGCACCAAAAACATCACCGAAAATCCGTGTTGGAGAGAAAGCAGAGCCGCAGCCTTTTCCGCTGCAGCGGAACGATCTGATTTGGCCAAATAAACAGAGAGGGAGAAAAACAAGGGATTCGGCTGCCGGACAGAAAGCCGCCGGATGCTCAGAGCATTACATGCAATAATTTCAGCGACAGGAATGTGCTGGGGTCACAGGAGCCGGGATTGCGTGGGCAGCGCGGGGCCCTTTGTGTGCGCTCCTTTATTGCTTTTCCACCTCCCTCCTCCAGATTTCCCACTCCTTCCCAACCTGCCCCCCATTTTGGGGCTCTGTCCCAACCCCCAGTCCCTGCATGGCCCCAAACAACAGCATAAAATCATCGAGGAAAACCATAATGTGTCCTGCACCATCCGCACAGCTGCACTCTCGCAGGCAGATCCCATCGTTTTATCCGCACGCCCATATTTTAATTAAGCTCCAAATCCAGCAGTGCTCATCGGGAGCGGTTTGTGGATGGGGAAGAGGAGCTCTGGGGGTGGGTAGGGCACAATGGGGCCTTGTGGCTGTGGGCTCTGATGAGATCAGTGCTGACAGCAGCAACACGGGGGGGCCGACCCCGGGAAGAGCAATTTGGAAATAGCAATATGTATCTACACACATCTATGTGTTCCTATAGGTGTCTGCAGCCCTGCAGTGTGCGGGATGCTCGGCCGTGCACCTCAATGCTCAGTGCCCATCTGTCACCACTCGGTTAAAGAAGGCCACAAACATGACAAATACAGCTTAGTTTATATATATATATATATATAAAAAAAAAAAAAAAAAGTCACGAATTTGGTATCGTTATAACTTTAGTGCACATACGATGCTCCCCCCACCCTCAACGGTTTGAAATCCCCCCCTGCCCTGGTGTGGTGGCACCAGGGAACCACTATGGAGCCACGGCCCCATGGTGTCCCCATGTGGGCGGTGGCACAGCCCCACCTCTCCCTGCTCCTGTCCCCCTTCTGCGCTCAGCACTTTGGTTCTTATGGGGACCCTCCGTGCCACCTCTGCTCCCTCCTCAGCCTCGCTCCTTCAGCCTTGCTCCTCCTGCTCTCCCCTCCACCCGTGTCTCCCATCACCCTTAGGGTCAGGACACGGCTCTCCATCTCTGCAGTCCCCCTTCCACCCTCAACACTGCCGATCCACCTCCTCTCCCTGCTGTCACCACTGCGCTGTGCCACCGCTCTCCTCATGCCCTGCAGTGTCCCCACACCTGCAATGACCCCTCGGCCCCCAGGACCCCCAGCCCGGAGCCCCCTTCTGCAGCCCCCCAGGGTCACACACTGGGAAAATCCCATCCTATCCCGCAGGATTTTCACAGGGCTGTCCCCACCCACCGTGCTCCCACATCCCTATGTGCCTGTCCCTGCAGACAGCATGCAGCTCCCTCCATGTGGCGATGCCCCCAGCATCCCAGGGCAGCGAGAGGTGGCTGAGATAAACACATTTTCCAGTGTCTCTCGAGCAGGGATGCTCCCAGCTCCCAAGTTGGGGGCTGCCCACCCCGAGCCGCTCAGTCCACAGGGAACTCGCAGGGGTTCTGCCTCCTGCGCCGGGCGCCCTCGTAGATGCGCTGGAAGTCCTTGTAGCGGGGAGCGCAGCTGAGCCATGCCTCACCAAAGTGCAGCCACCCCGTGAAGAGGAAGGTGCCGGGGCCCGGCCGCACACCGCAGCGCAGAGGAGTGCGGATGCTGCCTGCCGCCCGCCCCAGCCGCCCCCCGGTTTGGAAGAGGGGGAATTTCTGGCGGTGGATGCGGACGGCGCTCACCCCGATGACGGATTCCTGCAGCTCTGCGTCGTTGGAGACGCTGTGGATGGTACCGCGGACCACTGTGGGGGAAGGCAAAGAGGGATGAGTGTGCATCTGCCCCCATCCCCATCCCCATTCCTGTCTCCATGCCCTTCCTCTTTTTTATCCTCATCCTCACATCCTCATCCTTGTCTCCTTCCCCAGCTCCATCCCCTTCCCCATTCTTATCCCTATCCTCCTCCCCTTCTCTGTCCTGATCCTCATTCCCACTTCCATCCCCATTCCTTATTCCCATTTCCATTCCCCATTCCTGTTCCCATCACCATCCCTGTCTCCATTCCCATTTCTATTCCTTTTCCCCATTCCCTTCGCCATTTCTGACCTCATTCCTGTACCCATCCCCATCTCCATCATTATCCTTATTCCTGTCCCCATTCCTGTTCCCCATTCTTGTTCCTTTTCCCCATTCCCATTCTCATCCCTGTCCCCATTTCCAACCTCAACCCCATCCCCCAGCAGCCTCAGGGACCCATTGCAGGCTGGTGTGAAGGGGAACACATGGCCCCATATGGATGCAGAATGGGGCCATGACATATGAGATCAGCACGGGGCACCATGGCCATGCCACGGGCTGGATGAGGACAACACAGCGCTCTCGAAGCAGCGCTGTCCCATCACCCCATCCCTACAGCATCCCACTTTGTATTTCCCTCCCTCCTCCTGAGCCCAGAGATGCACTCACCAAAGTCACTAGTGCAAATGGCCATCAGGAGCTCAGTGTCGTTGCACGGCCGGCACACCCCTAGAATAACCAAACACCATTGTCACCACAGCGTGCCCACACCACGAGGGGAGAGAAATCCCTCTTTTCAAGAGGTTTTCCCACTTGAAGCACCCGAAGACGTTCTCACCTTCGGCGGGCAGCGCGGGCCGGGCGAGCCAATCCCCCCGCAGCTCATAGCGGAAGGCAGCGATGCGGCGGCTGATGTCACGCTGTGGGGTGGCCTGCAGGAACAGGGCCACCTGCTCATGGGGTGGCCAGCTGAAACACCTCACACGGGGCCGCGGGGCCACCTCTGCCTCGGGAAGCAGCAGCTCCAGCTCGCCATCTCGCTCCAGGTAGAGCTGAGCACCCCGGAAGGTGCCGGCTGGCTGAAGGCAGGCGGTGACGTGTCGGGGGTCTCGGCCATCAGAGGTGGTGGCGGGGGGCAGGCGGGGGGCCAGGCGGAGGCGGAGAGCCCCCGTGGGGTACAGCCACTCCAAGGAGCCCTCGGCGCAGCGTAGGGTGAGCTGCTCCACGCTGCCTGCCTCCTGTGACAAGCCGCTGCAAGGCACCGGGCATGGGGTCAGCACAACCCCGAGTGCAGACCCCAATCCCTGACCCACCCGAGGTGTCTGCACATGGGAGTGTGGAAACCCCAAAGAGTAATGCTAGAGTCTTGACTTCTCAGCTTTGGGGTGCAGTTTGGTGATTTATCCCCATCCCCATCTAGGGATGTTTCCTGCGTGTTCTCGCCCTCCTTGCCCCCAGATCCACCCCATTCCCTTTGCCCTTTCTGGGCGGACTTTTTCGGGTGCTGGGATCTGTGGGTTGGGGAAGGGGGGGGGGGTCACCTCGCTCCCTGCTCTTGTGGGATTCGGGTTCTCACGTTCCCGGCTCAGCGTTTTGCCGCTCCTGGCGCCGGGGCTGCCAAGCAGCGAGCCGGTGGAAGCGGGGCCGCCTTTAGGGTCGGGGGGAGCGGGGGCGGCCGCTTTGTCCGGGCCGAGGCGCTGGCGGCTGCGCGGCCCCGTGGCCCCGCCGCAGCCCCTCCTGCCGGGCCCCCGCTCTTTGTTCCCAAGTTCGGCGCCTTTCCGGGGTGGGAAAAGGCCCCGGGAAGAGTTTTTGGGGTCTCGGGGAGAATTTTAGGGCCCCAGCAGCCATTCCGACCAACCAATCGCGGGGCTGTAGGGAGCGGGGACACCGCGTGGAGAAGAGGATGGAGGAACGCACGGGTGAGTGGGGGGGAGATGTGGAAAAGCAGCTCGGAGCCCCTCCAGGCTGAGGGCAGCTTTTGGGGCATCGGTTCGAGCGAGGAAACTGAGGCAGGGAGAAATCCGAGGACTCAGCCTTAGGAGATGCACGGGGCTCTCTTCTCCACCGGGATTGGGACCGGGACTGAGGTCGGGATCAGAACGGAGATTGGGGTCCCACGCATCCCGGAGCTTACCTCCCCCTCCAGCTGCACTGATCCGCCGAGAAGCTGCCGAGGGCAGCGGCCAGCCCGGCTAGGCACAGCGCCCACAGAGCCCGCATGGCCGCTCCGGGGCTCCGGGCTCCCGGCAGCGGCGGCCCCGGGGGCGGCGGAGGCGGCGGCGGCCCCGGCCGTGGCCGCGGATCGCAGCGCGCTGGGGAATTTGGGGGGGGTGGGAACCGGGGGGGCCAATCAGCGCCGCGCCCCCAAACTTTGAGCCAATAGGGGCGGAGGGGCGGGGTTGTGCCCCCCCTCCTTCTCACCCCCCAAACCTCTACCCTGAGCATCCCACGCGGGGAGTGGAGATCGGTTCGCCACCACCGGGGGACCCCAGGGCGTAGGGGGTTGGCACGTGTTCTCCCATCCCCACGTCCCCCCCATAACCCCCCATTGCCTCCCCACGGAGGGGATTTTCTCGAGAAGGGGCCGCAGCGTGTGGGCACACCCTGGGACCCCCAATCCCATCCTCAAATCTCCCTTTGGAAAGATTTCCCCCCAGTTTGGACAGCCGCTATCAGCATCTGGCCGCCAGCCACGCATCTGCATCTCCTCCATCTCCCCTTCTTCCGCGAGCTGTTCCCAATTATGGCATTTTATTTTATTTTCCCTTCAGACACCATTGTGCCGGGCTCACAAACCCTGCAATTAATTAAGTTTCCATCGAGTGACAGCCCGCCAAAATGTTTGAAATAAACACGGAACAATTGCGATGCGATGATACAGGCGGAGAACAAAGTCCCCGGAGAGAGGGTGGAGCCGAATGGAAATGAGGGATTGTAAATTTGGATGGCAGAAAGAAAGAGAAAGGAGGGGAAGAGGAGGGGGCCGGGCACGAGGAGGGGGGAGAGGGATTCAGAGCCCTCCGGCCATGAAATGACACTGAAAGAAGTCAATCTGATGGAATCCGTGGAAAATTAAGACCGGGAGAGGGTGGATGCTGTGGGAGATGGACAAAGGCAGCAGGGTCAGCACCACTGCCCACCGACCTCCCAGAGCCGGGCCTGAAGTGGGCTGAACCGGGCTGAAATGAGTCGAACTGGGTCTGAAAGGAGCTGAAATGGGTGGAAATGGGTCCATACTGGGCTGAACTGGGCTGAACTGGGAAGATGCAAAGCCCTGTGCAGCACAGCACGCACAGCCCCCAGCCACTCGTCACTCAGTGAGATGGGGTGGGGTGAAGCATCCCTGGGGGCAGCCAGAGATGCCACCAACTGGAATGTTTTGGCCCCATGGCCACGTCCCCTGGCAGTGTCCCCAGGCCATGTCTATGAACCATCACCCCAACCCGCCTCCAGAGCCCCCCCTGCCCCCCATGACACTGTGCTGCGGTCCCTCCCACCCCAACCACCCACCTGCTGCAGGGGTCACCACGCAGCCACCTCCATCATGACTATGCGGGGCCACATGTCCGCACGCTGAGGACATCCTGCCATTGTCACCCCCGTGGTGTTGGCTGCCCGGCTCCCTGCTCTCGGGTCGCTTGGGGTCCTCGAGCTTCTAGGAGCCCCGGGGCCGGGATGCTGCGGGCTCGCAGTGCCCTCTTGTGACTGCGGACACGGCTCTGCATCCCCCCGACCCCGACCTCCCCCAGCAGGGATTTGGGATCTGCAGGTCTGGGCCTGATCCTGCCTCAGCTCTGCCCATAAATAGGCAGAGATCACGGTGGAGCAGGGTGGGTAGAAACCCTCCTGGGGGGGGAGCAGACGGGCTGTGAGGTGGGTGGGAAGGTGCAGGGGCTTCTCGGAGGGGAAGGGGCTGGGGCCTGACCCTAAAGTGCTGCTCAGAGGCTGGGGCTCCCCATCCCCTCCTGAAGCTGTGGCTGCGTGGGGAGCTGCTCCTACTGAGCCAAGAGAACCCGTGGGAACTGCAGCTGCGTCAGGCACCCACATCATCCCCAAAAAATAGCTCGAGAGGCCTCATATTGGCTTCCAGCCTCGCTGGATCCCAAGACATTGAGGGTCCTGGTCCCTGGCCCTACATATATCCTTGTCCTCTCGCAGTGTCCTGAGGGATGTCAGGAGGGAAACTGCATGCTAAGGGTCCCCACAGTGGGCAGGATCCCTGAATGAAGGTCCTTGCAGCACAGTGGTGGATCCCATGGCTAAGAGAGGGTTCTCATGTAAGGACAAGATTCCCCATTAGCTGGGTGAGGGTCCACATGGCCAAGTGAGGGACCTCGTTTTGGCGTTGGGTGTCCTCAAGTGAGAGAAGGTTCCCATGACAGAATGAGGATTTCAGAAGTGGGTGAGGCTCTCAGCAGCAGGATAAGGGTCTCTGTGGCCAGAGGAGGGTCCCCATGGCAAGACAAGTGTCCCCCTGGCTGGGTGAGGGTCCTAATAGCTAAGTGATTGTACCCACAGCAGAATGAGGGCCCCACCTCTAGGTTCTGCCCTCACCCAGCTTCAAGACCTGGAGGATATTGCACTCCAGATGGGAACCACAGAGGTGTGCTGAGCCCCACTGGGGGCAGTAGGGCTGCACCGAGGGTGGTGTCCCCAGGCTGTCCCCATCATCGTCAGCCTCCAAAACAGAAGCAGGCAAGGCTGCCCTGGCACGTGCATCCTCTCCGGCGGCGAATGGAGCTGCCTATTGATTTGCAGGCGGGCTAAAAATAACCCTCATCTCTTCATCCAGAGCTGTGAAAAATCCCCCATCGCTAGGCGACGGGTTACCGGGAGACAGCCATCGCTAGGCGACCGCTGTTGCCGCGGCGACGGCACCCTGCGCACTGCGGTCCAGCTTTGGTACCCACGGTCCGGCTGACCCAAGGATGCTCGGCCCATAGCATGGGAACCAAACCCAGCAGCCTTCAAGAGCCCCATGTGGGTAGCAGGGGTGGGAGCTGAGTGAACCGCCACCCACTGCCCACACAGGGTGGCTGTTCCCATAGGGACATCCCTGTGGGGACAAGGCTCGCAGGGGGAAGGACCTACAGGTTCTCACTGGGGTCACTGAGGGTGGGACAGATGTGTGATGTGGAAAAGGCCACAAACCCACATGTGCCTGCTCACTGATCCCTCCAGCCCATTTTTCTACAGTTGTCACCTGCTGGGCAGGATGGAGGTGGCAGAGGCTGCACTGTCCCTGCATGAGGGACACATCTGAGTGCCAGCAGCCTCCAGCCCCAGCAGCTCCCCATACCATCACCCCTGTGGCTGCTGTCTTCCCTTTACGCATGGGGCAGAGGCAGTTGCACACTGTGGGGACACAACACTTCCAGCTGTGGGGTGGGATTATGGGTGTGTGTGTGTGTGTGTGTGTGTGTACATCCTCCCCCCAAACACTCTCCCATTGCCAGCACGAAACCCGACCTGCCTTATAAATAATGGAGGCAGCCAGATCCTGGCAGTTACATCAGCGTCCCCAGGGCCTGGCCGGGTGGCAGCCAGCCTAGCTTACCCCACTACAGTGCTGTGTAATGGGAAGGGGTTAAGCACTAAGCCTAAGCCCTTTCCTTCCAGTCTGGGGAGCTGGGCCCCACATTGGAGTTGCTGAGTGGGTGCAGAGCTGGGCAAGACAGGAATAAGTGGGGCAGTGAACGCATCTGCTCTTCCCTCAGTGCAGGTTCCTGCAGCTTGCCAGGGTGCTGGATCATCCCCACTGAGTTGGGGGCTGCCAGTGGGGCCAAGGCTACCAGCCAAGAGGGTTCAGCACAGGGATTGCCTTTTGCCAGTGTCCTGGTGGGGAGAGAGACAGAGCAAGCACCCCTAAGTCCATCCATTCTTTTGTCCATCTAGCTTTCTATCCCTCCATCTGTCCATTCATCCTTCCCTCCATTCATCTGTTCCTGCATCCATCTCTCCATCCTTCCGTCCCTCCATCCTTCTGGAACCAGATGATTCCAACCCAAGCCATTCCACAAGTCTATGATTCTATGATTCTCCCTGCATCTATACCTCCCTACACCTGACCACCTATCTGTTCTTGCATCTGTCCCTCCATCCAGCCCTCCATCCCTGTATCAATCCCTCCATCCCTTCATCTTTTCCTCCATCTCTCCATCTATCACTCCAACCATCCACGTGTCCCTGCATCCATCCCTCCATCTATTTCTCCACCTATTTATCCCTCTCTCCATCCATCCCTCCACCCTTTCCTCCCTTCATTCCTCCACTCATTCATCCCTCCATCCCTCCACCATCCATCGACCCCTCCATCCCTAAATCCGTACCCCTCCACCTATCCACCCATCCATCTCTTCCTCCACCCCTCCATCCGTCCCCGCATCCCTCCCTCCCTCCTCCCACCCCCACCCCTCCCTCCGGTGCCTCCCACCCTCCCGTCCCTCCCCGCGGTACGGGGGCTCTCAGCTCCCCGGCTCCTTCCCCCTTCACCTGGTCGCTGCCGTTCGGTGCTGCGGGGACCGGGATCGGTGCGGGGACCTCGGCGCTGCGTTGTCGCTCTCGGCGGCGGTGTCTCTTTAACGGGCGGCTGTACGGACGCGGGAGGCTGCGTGTGCGCGCGTGTGCGCGCGTGTGCGTGTGCGAGCCTCTCGCAGCTGCCCTGCACCGAGCCGGATCCGGCCCTCTCCCCTCCCCACCGCTGTTTTTTTTTGGGTTTTTTTTTTTTTTCGGCTTGAGGCCGAGCGGCACGGAGCACCCATCTTCCTCCCCTCCTCTCTTCCTCCTCCTCCTCGTCGAGGTTTCCTCGCGCAGGAAAGGAGCGGCTGTCCGCGCACGGCATGGCATGAGCTGGGAGAGCTGGAGGTAAGGGATCGCTTATTTATTGTTTGGGGGGGGGGGGGTTGTTTTGTTTTTCTCTTTTTTTTAATTATTATTATTGTTGATGATGATGATGGTGGTGATTTGCTCTCGGGAAACCATTGCGACACAAAGCCCGCACATCTCCGTACGGCCCCGGCGGGCGGGGAGGGGGCTGGGGCCGCAGCCCCCGGTGCAGCATCCCGCAGCACCGTTATATAACGGCGGCAGAGTGAGCCCCGTGCTCCCGGCCGGGGGGGAAGGAGAGGGAGAAGGTAACGGAGGGGCCCTTCTCCGTTCCACTCGTCTCCCTTCCCCCCCACCCCCCCCCAAACGGGGGCCCAGAAGGCAGGGAGTGGGCTGGCACCGGCTGTCCTGTAGGGAGGCTTTGGGATGAGTGCGGTTACCAGCATGGAGAGAGA